TATAAAAATCAATTTAATTATCTATTATAAACAATTTAAGACTGCTAACCTTATGCTAAAAAATAACAACAAACCAACTAAGTCAAAATTACAAAGAACGAACATTATCTGTGAGTTCAAATGCCCCTTAAGGAACTGCGCTCCTGATCAAACCGGATTCATAAATAATTACATCGGCTACACAACCACATGCTTATCCAGACGTCTTACGTTACACATATCTGATCACAACTCCATTAGAATCCATTTAAACACACACAAATTTACCAGACTCCATTAGAAACATACTAGTAGAAGACACAAATATATTAAATGCATCCACCTGCAAAAAAAAAAAAAAAAACTCTTAACAATATTAACTACAAACAAGGCCACAACGTGCTAAGCGTATTCGGAAATTAAAAACATCCCTACTAGACACTAAAACATACACATAATGCACACACTCAAGCTGAAAAATCGAATGATCCTTGATAATGGCTAAAGGTAGAGGTGAAAGCGCTCAGAAATATAAAACATTTGGACAGTTTTTACACGCTCTTTGTCCAGAGAAGAAAACTCTCGTTCGAACACAATAAAAATTAAATAAAAAAGCTCAACCGTAGTACCTTGTCTGTCGTTTTTAATGAAACATGCATATATATATATATATATATATATATATATATATATATATATATATATATACGCACAAATGAGAGAAAGAACAGATGAAGTAAAATTCCGCTGTTTGTAGCTTTTACTTTTAAAAAGGAGCAATAAAATGTAGGACAATATATTATTATTATTATTATTATTATTATTATTATAATAAGATATAACAAAAACATGTTGAAATCGCTACACAATAGCTTTCGTGTTTCGGCGCTACGTTGGACCTCTTCAGGCGATGGTAAGTGACTCCAGTTATTGTGTAGCGATTTCAACATGTTTTCGTTATATCTTATAATAAAATAATAATAGTAATAATTTATACATACATACATATATATATATATATATGTGTGTGTGTGTGTGTGTGTGTGTGTGTGTGTGTGTGTTTGTGTGTATGTATAATTTGCAAAAGATTTGCTTTCATATCTTTCGTCTATGAACTTGCGTTATCGGAAAAAAGAATTTTATTTCCCCAAACGTAAACCCAAGTATAACTCATTTGAAAGCTTGTTTTCCATTTTAACAGTGCCTTTATAGGTTTAAATATCTAATTTAGATACAGTTTTTATTTCTATTTAATCTATTCTTTTATTTAACTTATTTATATTTTTATTTTCAAGAACTCAGCAAATCGAAACATTGTCACATTTTCTGTTCTTTGCATATCGATTCTAAAAAAAAAAATCTTTACCTTTTGGTTATTCAGAAGATTAAATTACAACTGAAACTACATTTATGGGCTAACATTCAAATCATTAACTCCACAAACCAATATTTGCTTATATTTTTATTATATCTGCAAATTCAGCTCAAAAACCAATATTTCTTACATTTATATACGCAACTTGAGCGTAAATCTAAATTTACATGCATTTGGTGATATTCAGAAAATCTTTCCAATAAATGAAAATACACATATGTTTCATAATAACCATAGCTTCATTGAGAATCTATTTGCATTTGTCGATTTTTGGCAATAATTTTCCATAAATGAAAATACGTATATATTTCATGATAACAGTAGCTTCATTGAGGATGTATATGCATTTGTTGATTTTTGGCTTTCCTTTTAAATAAATGAAAATACACATAGATTTCATGATAACCCCAGATTCATTGAGAATCTATATGTATTTGTTGATTTTTGGCAATCCTTTTCAATAAATGAAAATGCACATATATTTCACGATAACCGCAGCTTCATTCGGAATCTATATGCATTTGTTGATTTTTCCCAATTCTTTTAAATAAATGAAAATACACATATATTTCATGATAAACGCAGATTCATTGAGGATCTATATGAATTTGTTGATTTTCGGCAATTCTTTACAATAAATGAAAATACATATATTTTATGATAACCGCAGCTTCAATGAACATTTACAAACATCTACTTATATTCACATCTTCTATATAGCAAACAAAATTATACATATAGTTGATGATATTAAAACATTTAATTCCACAAATTTCTTCCATCGATATTCACACCTTCAACTAAACAATTATAATGTGCTTATATTTTTTTGATATTCTCAAATTCAAATGAACAAATGAAAATTTCCTTACGTCTAGCGGTATTTGTATATTGTGTTCAACAAAAATAAATTTGCCTTAATTTGGTATTTTCCTACATTAATCTAAATTTCAAACAAAACTTTTCTTTTCTGATCTCCACTTCATGAGCTCAACAACAGAAAATTCACTTATGTTAGGTGATATTCAAATTTTGAACTGGACAAAACCAAAAGTGGCTCATATTCAGGAATATGTGAAAATTGAAATTAACAAAAATATTTAGACTGGAATATTCGCAACTTCAGCTCAAATGAGAACCTGCTTACAACTGATGATAATCAACAGCTTAAATTAAAATTAGCGTCCATTTGTTGAAATTGAGAATTTGAAGCCAATAAATTTGACCATATTTCGTTGTATCACCAGCTAGATTTCACCAAATTATCAATTGCATACATTTCATGAGTGCCATATATTGAGCTTAAGAAATCAAAATGATATTTTATTTCGTGGATTTCACGTCTCTAGAAGATTATCAATTGCATACATTTCATGAGTATCATATATTGAGCTTAAGAAAACATAATGTTCTTTCATTTGGTGAATTTCAGATCTCTAGCAGATTATCAATTGCATATATTTCATGAGTATCATATATTGAGCTGAAGAAAACAAAATGTTCTATCATTTGGTGAATTTTACACCTCCAGCTGATTATCAATTGCATACATTTTATGAGTGTCATATATTAAAGTTAAGAAAATATAATGTTCTTTCATTTAGTGAATTTTGCATCTCGAGCAGATTATCAATTGCATACATTTCATGTGTGTCTTATATTGAGCTTAAGAAAATGTTCTTTCATTTGGTGAATTTCACGACTCCAGCGGATTAAATCCAAATTTCTTTTAATTTGATTTCATTTGATTAATTTAAATACTATTCGCATCATCAAGTGAAGAACTATATTTTGCTGATATTTGATATTTGTCTCTTGCACACAACGGAACCAAATTTGCTGTAAGTTGCTATTTTCACAACCTAATTTATATGAGTACTTTTTGTTGATATTCACACCTTGAGCTCCACAAATGAAAACTTTCTTATTGTTATGACACGGGCTCTGGCAAGACAACACTTAACTCAATAGGGTCAGTCGGCATAGTAGTATTCAATACTCAGTTAGACAAGTCACTGAAATAGTATCAACATCTATTTTTTAGACAATTACTCAGAAGTAATTATCACGAATGGATCAGTCCATTCATGATAATAAGGGGGATAAGTCCCTTTTACCACGGCACTGATGTTTAGTAATATTCGCATCTTGAATCTCGACAAATCAAAATTTGCTGACATTTAAAAACTTTCCCAAAGTGCAATTAACCAGAGAAATTTTGTTGAAATATTCGCAACTTGTTTCTTTTTATGTGCCCTGTCTTTTTAGGACGTAGGCGATCATAGCACTCCACCTCCCTCTATCCCTTGCAGCTCTCAACAAGTTCCTTCCCTCTGCTTCCTCCCCCAGAACACGTTCTGTCCCCCAGGTATGTCACCCATTGTTTTCCCTTCTCTCTCTCTCTCTCTCTCTCTCTCTCTCCCTCTATTCGACCCGTGAGTATCAGATTCTCTAGCCCCTCCTTCCTCATTATGTGTCCCAGAAACTTCAGCTGCCTCTTCATGATATTAATTATTAAGTATATTGAGTATAAGTATAAGCCTCTTTCGCAACTAAACAAATTAAAATCTACATGCATCAGGTGGAATTTACATAAGGTGCTTCATGTAAAATTTACTTACATTTGTTCAAATTAGAGCACTATATATTAAAATTTGCTTTGATTTTGGGATATAAAATTCACACAAAACAAATGTTGGGAGCCTCTAAATATAGAGGGTTACCGATGAGATGGTTATGATTAATAAGACGTGATATGAATAAAAAGGCGGCGATAGGAAACGAAGATTACTAGGATAGGAAGAATACGACTGACACTTGACAAACGTTGCAGGGTTCGTGGAAGGATCCAAGCTGGGATCATCCACAGAGTCGTTTTATCTTGGGGAAAATAGATGTGATTTAGACTTTTTTTACATCTCGAATACGGGTGGAAATGGGCTTGATTAGACTCTGTGGAGATGACATGGAGGACCGTAGTAGTAAAGGTCTCAACTGGTAGAACTAACGAGTATAGCTTATCTGAACATTTGCCATAGAAATAGCGATAAATTATTATTATTATTATTATTATTATTGATATTTTGGAGAAGAGGTCTCGGACTGGAGATTAATTCTTTCTCACTCATTTAAAACATGAGGTCAACAAGTAAAACATCTTTCCACGGTTATAATGTCACGAATATTTGTATATTAAATTTTTGCATTATTTTGAATATAAAATCACAGTGAAACCTTTTTTTCGGGTATTTGTCAGAAACGATGCCACGTGGAGACAAATTCGCTAGAAGTAAATGCATTTCTTTAATTATGCCCATCGTAATTAAAAATTTATTCGAATTAATTTCAAAAATTCTCTTTTGTTCAGGCTGGGAAATTGTTTGTTCTAACAACTTTGGCCAACTGCATAATAAAGAAGCAAATTATGTTTTTTTTTTTTTTTTTATTAGTCCCCTTCAAAGAAACTATCGAGGAATATGATCAAAGTTTCGCTGAGGTAAATTAGTTTGATTATCGTTTCAAAATCAATAATTGGATTTACTTTTGACTGTGATCTTCTTCCTCTTCGCCTCTCTTTCTTTATGAATGCGCAGACTTCTATATCTTTTTGCTCTTTCGACACGCACTTTGTCCTATTCTTACATTTTTATCTCTCCTCATCTGCCTTTGCCTCAAAGTCATAAATGTTTCTTTCTTTCTTCTGCTGTTGAAAGCGGAGACATAACTGATTCATCGCTTAATTATGTCTTACACTTGAAAAGAATAATTACTTTGTTAAATGAGTGAACGCATTACGCACACACACACACACACACAGATATGAAGAAAATATAACTTGAAGGTATGTTATATTCATGGGTTAAAGTGCTCAATATGAGGTATAGAGCGTATGTAAATATAACAGTGAACATTGAGGTCAAAAGCCAGTGGCGACAGTCTGTATAAAGTTTAAATGTCACACAGTTTCCGGACACACACATACATATACACATATATATATTATTGAGCGCGTCAATAACAGCAAACGCGTTCAAGAAACTTTCATTGGAGATAGATTTTACTTAAAGGAACAATTAGCTTATCTTCATACCCTGCCTAGTGGCAAAAGCTGCTGGTGGCACCAGGGGTGGCGGTCCCGCCATAGCCACCGAAACCGTGAGATCACCACTGGTCGGCGGCTGATGAAGACAGGGTATCGCACGTGAGAACACACGTTGTATGTTAAAAAAAAAGTTCACATATATCTTCAGGCCATATATATATATATATATATATACATATATATGATGAAAATATAGTTTTAAGGTATACTATATTTAAGGGTTAAAGCGCTCAATATTAGTGATAGAACATATGTAAATATAAAAGTGGACATTAAGTTCGACACTCAGCGGCGACAATCTATTTCATGCTTAAACGCAATCTTCAAGCAGTAAATTATATTTGGCAGTTAAAATAAACGGGGTTTATATATCTATGTAATGTTTTATTAACTTTTGAGTTATGAATATTAATGTTTTAATTAGAGCGAGATTACTTTTTCTCATTTAAAGAAGAGATAATATCTATATTTATTTATATATATACTTAATAGTCCTTTTTTAACACCAGCACTATATATATATATATATATATATATATATATATATATATATATATATATATATAATATAAAAGGCTAACACACTAATATTCCATGGTTATAATTTTTTTTTTTTTTTTTTTTTTTGGGTGGAATTTGTAGGTCTGATGATTTGGATCGTGATTACGATTCCAATGTAATAAATTATAACCATGGAATATTAGTGTTTGAGCTTTTTATATTATATTCTTACTCTGTCCTGGACATTGAGTTCTCCCTGGATTCTATCCTCTTGGTAATATATATATATATCTATATATATATATATATATATATATATATATATATATACATATATATATATATATATATATATATACTCCAGGTGTATCAGCAAAATTGTCCAAGCGTTAGAAATGGTTAGCGATACCTTACTGGATGGCTTTTGAATGGACTTTGAAGACTGAAGCCTGAGTATGAATGTTGGTACATTTACTAAAGACCTTAATTTTTTTGTCTCATCATTGCTCAGCTGGGAAGACATAGTGGGACTGACACAAAACGATTTTAACTTGTTCTCTTTCAAGCTGAATAACTCAAACGGATTTTTAGTGATTCTTACGATAGGCGGTGTTAAAATGGCTAAAAGTCTTATTTGAAAACCTGGAAAAACGACACCGAAATAGTTCATTTTTTTTTTTAGATATTAAACATTTTGTAGGCAGAACATGTGGGATGATCCCATGCTGTTACACGATTTGAACAAAATTGCTGTTCCACAGTGTATATATATATATATATAATTATTTATTTAAAAATATGATTCAACACGCTATAAGGTCTCATGTTTCAAATAAGAACCGAAAACTTCAATATATATATTATATTGAAGTTTTGAAACATGAGACTTCTTATGTAGCGTGTTGGAATCATATTTTTGAATAAATAATTATATTTAGGTTCTACTTTTTGAATCGAGCACTATTTTTTCAAAATAATAACAAAAAATACCAAAGAACTTTGGATTATTTACCTAACGAGTTCTTTCCTATTCTCTATATATTTTTTTTCACACACACACACACACACACACACATATATATATATATATATATATATAGATAGATAGATAGATAGATAGATAGATAGATAGATGAACAGAATGAGATAGATAGATAGATAGATAGATAGATAGATAGATATATACTGCTAGTAGTATGTAGCAAATTAAAATTTATTTACAAAATTTGCAGTAAAATTCTTCTATATCAAACCAAAACGCTTATATAGAATACAAAATATAAAAAAAGATTGTCAAGCGAAGTTAACATATTTTTCTAGAATGCATTTTTCATCAAAATATATTGGCTTAGCCTAACGATCCTTGTTGGTAGGTATCCTGAGTAACTGAGGTAATATTTATATTTTTTAAATTTATACATAGCACTATATTAACTTACACCCAGGATTTTTTTTCAAAGATCTCCTTTCTTAAAAGAAACATTCCTTTCTCAATGCAAACATATTTATTCATTAACATAAAAAGAATTTAAAAGTTAAAAGAAAATGGTGACCTTTAAAATGAATTAATTCATTATAGAACAAAATAAAATAAAAATGAAAATAAGTAATAATTACATAAAAACATCAATAACAACATTGACGTAATAACGGTGTCAAGGGATAATCGTTTTTTGACAAATCGTTTTAAACATAGCCAAATATTAAATGTCGCAAGCGATTCCCTGGCAACACCACGTACAGGGTGTAACAGCAAAATTGTCCAAATCGTGTAACAGCAAAATTGTCCAAATCGTGTAACAGCAAAATTGCCCAAATCGCGTAACAGCAAAATTGTCCAAATTGTGTAAAAGCAAAATTTTCCATTTGTTAGATTAAGCATTGAATCTTGTATCACAGAAATCTCAGTGGAATTCTCAGAGTTTTTTTTTTTTTTTATAACAATATTGGCCTCTACTTTGACAAATAAAAATGTATAATTACTGTCGAAGATTAACACATGAACCGTGGCGAAATTGATGATAAACAAAAATGACATGTTCATCATTAATTAATCATAGCTAAGGATCGGAAGCTCATGAAGGATTGAAATAAATTATATATATATATATATATATAAGTTATGAAGAACTTGGTAATCCGTATGGGTAATCCCAAGGAGGATGAAATCCTGAGAGTTCAATGTAAATCCAGAGCTAATATTTAAAAGAAAAACAGACAACTTTAAGTTACCATCATAATAATTTATTTCACCAAAGTCCTTTTAAAGGACGCCGGATCATCAGATAGCTCTTCCAAAAATGAAATGAAACGAAAAAATGAAATTAAAATTGATGGGTAGTGTATGTTTTTGTAATTTAACAGAGAGTGTAAAAGGGATAGTTAAATAGACATGGTAGAGTATAGGGAGGATTAATTTCATATCTCTCTCAAGTATACTTTATATTATGGGAGGAGGTGACCAGACCTTGACCTATTTAGATGGTTAACAACAGAAGTGATATATAGAAATGGGAGGGGAGTAGGGAGAAAAAAAAAGGAAAAGTAAAAAAAAAAAAAAAGAGGAGAGGGAAGTAAAGTGAAAGAGGCTGTAATTGGGTTTTAGCAATTTATGTAAAGAATAGATTTTAATGCTTGATAGAAATTTAGATGTCTAAAAAAATTTGATGTTTGCTATCAATTTAAATATTCAATTTTTTTAAAACAAATAGTTTAGGGACTTAATATAAGTTAAATACTATATTTATTAACACATTTATAGACAAACATATTAAAAAATATTTTAAATTATAATAGTTTGTTTACCCGACCAATCGTACTTTTTTTAATATTGTAAAAATAGTTATGATAACATCTTTATTAGTTTTACTTTTAATCTAATTTATGAATGCAATTTGTCATTATTTTTGTATGGGTAATCTTACTTACTTAAAGTTTAGGTTTAATTATGGAATAATATTTGAGGGTAATATTAAAGATTTTGCTTTCTTCTTATATATATCACATACATATTCATGCAAACCCCATATATACATACGTTTATTTACATGCGCAAATACACACATAGACACACACATGTAGCGATATACGCATGTACCTATCCATATTCATACATAAATTACATACACATACATTTATAAATGATTACATATATTTTAATATTTGAAATTTAGATTTTTGTTTAATTTCATAGTTAAAGTTTAACGTTAGGTGACTTCTGAAGTGCTTAATTATTAAAAAAAAATTAAGTTAATATTTTACTATCAATATTGATAGTTAAAGAGTTGTATATTTAAATTTAAGTTAAATTATCAATTTAAAATGAAAATACCTCCAGATGATAAATATACCCTCTCATAATTCTAATTACAGAACATTAAAAGAGAAAGTGAGATTAAATATTAATAAGACTAATTTTAAAACACATTTAAAATGACCTTATGTCCTTCCATTTGAATACATTCTATATACATACACACACACACACATATATATATATACATACACACACATATACATATACATACATACACATATACATACATATGCATAAATATACATATATATATACATATATACACATATACATACACACACATACACCTACATAACACACACAGTTACATACATAAACAAGCATATAAACGAACTATACCCATAAACATCCATACGTATTTATATTACTATGTTATACAAATATATATTCACACATATTACAAATATTAACTTTAAAATATTTACATCTTTATACACATACATACATAGATTACATGCAATTTCATATCCAAAACAATATATATATATATATATATATATATATATATATATATATATATATATCATACACACACATATACATATACATACACACACATACATACATACATGCAAAACACATATACACATATATATATATACAAAAATACCTAGCCAAAAACTACGCTTGCACCTATACATACCACATACATATATATTCATACTCATATATATGCATATATATACATATATACATACACATACACATATACATATGAGCCTGCAATTCATACAAACACATATATGCATATAAGCACCCTTATCCAAAATGCCCATAATATATATATATATATATATATATATATATATATATATATATATGTCCAGGTTCATCTGTTTTTTACACATACGACCAAGTACAGCATCTATGTGTTCATACATTCATTTCAAAAAAAAAAAGTAATATTTTCCTTTTTATATAGTTATTTTCTAAATATATTTAGTTAAATGGAGGTGGCTTTTATGTCTACATTTAAAACCAACTCGTTGTGTTTGTTCAGTAATATGTCCGGATCTTTATGCCTTATTATTAGGATTTTCTCTTTTATGCACAAATTACATCGGTCTCTGAAATTTATTGGAGTTCTAGCCCTCGACATGATTTTCCATTTTACTTGTGGGGTTAAGTTGATTTCCAACAAATACATATAATGTTTTGATAGTGCCGTTTGCTGCTTCATGGATTTATTTGTGAAGGATTGGCGATGGTTATAAAAACGTTGCTTCCAATTTCCTGCCGATATTCCTATGTATATCTTTTTCTGTTTAATATCTTCTTTGGGGAAAATTGTAGCTTCGTATATTACGTTTTCTGCCATGCATATTCCCTCTACTGGACAAACGGATCCTTCCCTGCAATTTTTCTTTTGGCTTGCATTAAGATCTTTTTTTTTGTAGTTGCTTATTATGAAATTCTTCTAAATTTTCTATTTTATATATATATATATATATATATATATATATATATATATATATATATATATATATATATATATATATATATATTCCAAGATCATTTTCCAATTTGTTCAAGATGATCTTCGCCATATCTAACGTTCTAACTTTCTGTCCTGAAGTAACAAGATGCTTCACAGGTTTCACGGACGATTTCATTTTCAAGTAATTTTTTCACTGCTCTTTGGACAGCCATAGCTGAAACTCCTCCCTCACGTGCTAAACATCATATGGATTGAGTTGGATCTTTTCTAATAGATCTCTTTATCTCTAAGTTGGAATGATGATCCCTCTTCCTTTTGTGACTTCCTGATACTCTTGGACGGACTATAAAGATGGAAGCCAGAGTATGAATATTAGTATCATTACTGAATGAACTGTTTTTTGGCTAATTTGGGATGACAGTGGGTCTAACTAACACAAAACGATTTTAGCCTGTTCTCTTTCGCTGCATAACTCAAAGTTATTTTGTCAGTGATTCCTGCAAAAATGGTATCAAGATAGCTAAGCGGCTTATCTGAAAACGCGAAACGTGGAGAAAAAGAAAATTAGTTAAGAGGTTGTTTAGATATTAAACATTTCGTGGATGGACAATTATGCTGTTACACGATTCGGACAATTTTGCTGTTACACCCGGTTGGTGTGTGTCGTGATGGAAGTTCTGACAGACAGACACGCTCGCAAATTTACTGGCATTGTTGTCTTTACACTGCAGTGATATTGGCAATCTTCTGTAACTAACCAGACATTCGCAAGTTAATCTACACGTGTTAGGATGGTTCATTGGACGAATATTGCCGACTATAGTGCACAACAGACGAGGCAGGTTCAGCAATTTTCCAAATTGACCATTCAATTTGTCGAAGGTCCACCATCCAACCTCACACAAACGAACTTTCATTGAAAAAAAAAAACAACAGGTTTCTTTCAGTACATGCGTCAGTGTCTAAAGCAGAAGACATCATTGCTATTACATTACATTTTTGACAATTCTATTAAAATATCTACTATCTTCTAAAGTACACATGTGGTATCAGGTTAAAATTAACGTCCTCCCCCAAGATGAGCAAATTTATTCCTCCGTTAATGTATATCCGTATTCTGAAAAGACTGGATGTGCGGGCGGTGTAATGTATTGCGCCTCAGAAAAAGAAATCGAAAAGCCGAGTTCGTTCATCCCCTTGCGCGTAAATACTCCTGGTAAATGTATGAATTCACCACCTCATCACCATAGTTTAAATTATAGGATTTGTATCTGATAAAATCATTGTTATTCTTTATGGTAATAGTTTAAATTGTAGAATTTGTAACTGGTAAAAAATCATTGTTATTCTCAATGGTAAGGGTTTAAATTGTAGGATTTGTATCTGGTAAAATCATTATTATTCTCTATGGTAAGGGTTTAAATTGTAGGAGTT